CACAGCTCCAGTGACTGCAACAGATTCGTTTACCAAAGTTTATAAATTGTACGTTGGAACCTAGAAACTATCCAAAACTCAGGGTTATAGATAATATACCTGGTAGCCACCGATGACCAAGAGATTAGGATAGCTAGGGTGAAAAACGCAAGAGTGGAATTTGTTTCCAGAGGAACTAAGCTCGTGGATGCAATCTCCCGAGCTCAGAGACCATAATTTAACAGAGTCTTCGCTAACAGAAGCTACCAACTCTCCGTTAGTGTTCCAACAAACAGAATGTACATTTGAGGAATGTCCCTGACAGATAAAGCCATGAGACATATAAGCATACAGTCCTACATAGTACGTGCAACGATGAACATTTATGACACCTAAGCAATTTGATTTTATCAAAGAAGAAAACATATTAGAAGATGCATGTATTTAAAGTGGAAAACAAAGTCTTATGTGGACTGAACAAAGGAGAATATAATCTTCGGCTTTACCTTAAACATGTGGACCCGTCTGTCATTTTCAACATCCAGAATAGATACAGTATTTTCAGAAGCTGCAGCAAGCATTTGTCCAATTCTTGGCTGGAACCGTACTTGCGTGCTAGCACCCTGTTGTTGGAAAATTCAAAGATTAGAAAATAGAGTACAATTTGGGGAGAAGCCATATGAAAATTCAAGGGCTTGCCTTGAAAGCACGAATGCAATTAGTGGCGTTGATGTTCCAGAACCGGATATCATTGTTGCCATCACAAGAGCAGAAAAGCTCAGTTTTCTTAGGGTGAAAATCAAGGGACATTACAGGTGCAGTATGGCCAGAAATTGTTCGTAGATAGTAACCAGGCTGCACAAATTGGTAGTAGTTTAGTCACAACAGAACACCAAAAAATGACTGCCAATTTAAAGAGATGATTTACTACTATACATCAGCAGCATCCCAGATTTTGATAGTTTTGTCGAACGATGACGTCGCCAGTTGAGTTGAATTAGGTCTGAAGCGAACATCTGTGATGATATGACCATGTTCTTCCGGAGTGCTCTCAGTTTGTAGTGTTTCCATGTTCCAAATAAAAACCTACTGACAAAAAGAAATTTGCATCCACATTATCTGTTTTTCGATAAACAATATCTGACCTACCTATAAACGATCTACAAAAGTTAAGGTCATGGCAAGATTATAAGCAAATTGTATGTTCCTTTCCCAGAGATAAGATGTTTCACCTTCTTATCATGTCCAGCGCTAGCCAACAACTTCCCATCAGATGAGAAATGACAGCAGATGACCTTACTGGCACTTCTTCTTATAGAACTAACCTCACTGAAGCTAAAACCTGAAGGAAAAAGGACCATGGTTAGTATCCATCGTCTATTAGTAGCATGTTTAGTCTAAGGGGGCGAGAGAATACCCTTTGAAGTTTCGGCATGCTCAGAAGGGTTCCGCTTTAGGGTGCTAAACAAGCTTCCTCCATCTCCATCATCTTGAGACAAAAACGATTCTACATTATCTTCTAGGGCTCCAACATCTCCAAACGGTTCCATGTCATCCTGCAGCTATTAGTTCTTGTCATAAGAAAGCTGAAAATAACACGGCTCGATATGCTATGCAAGAGAATACTGAAGCTGCAAAGAAAGCACTTCCTTTCACACAAAACTGCACGCTCTATTAGGATGTTACTAGAAGAACAATGCTAGATTGTTGTTATCATTATTTTTAGGAAGTTAAGAAACATACCAGCTGGTTTGCTGATGATGCAAGACCACCTATTCCATCAGAACCATACATCATTGGTCCCTTTGGCATGCTATTCACGTGCTGCATGTTACCAGGTATAGAAACTCCATCGACAGGGGTATGCGTTGACGGAGTTGACGGCTGTGAGTTGGATGGGCCGACCGTGTTTCCTGTCCCTGTACTGTTAGCAGGACCAGAAGAAGAAGGCCCCTTTCTTTTGCGGTTGTTCTATCAAAGACAAGAAAAGGAAGTTGTGGCTCAGTCATCTGACGCACTGTATAATATACTAGTTTGGTCTAAACCACATGATCCGCATAGAAGTACCTGTTGTGATTGCTGTGATAATAAGGGATCTTGTTGCTGAGAAGAAGATTGCTGTACTGCCGGCATGTTGATATGCTACAGACCAACAAACAGCAACGGATAAGGGAAAATCAGAAAGATGTTTGATTGATATAAATCTTAGAAGTGAAGTCCTCACGTTTGGCAGTCAACAGCTATTAATTGCAAATAAATTTTCTAAATTGAGGAGAGCGTGTGGTTAACAAGGAGAACCCAAATTGTGTGCCCTAAATAGATCTACAAACACATACACATAATATTACAAATTTTTCAAATGCAAAGTTGCAGCAGTTGCAGGGTATTCAGAACGAGCAATTATCAAAAAATGCATACAAGGACAGATATATCGATCCAATTTCATCATCTAACGAACACATAAAAATAAAATGCTCAATGTGGAAGTTCTCTCGGCCACCCCGAAAAAAGATTATAGAATTCAGCTCAAAAGAAGCCACTGCATTCAACAAGGATATTATTTTGTGGCGATTCGAGAAAAAAGGTCTTACTTTTGACGAACTTGACTGCATTGGAGACCCTATAGATCCATCATTTGCATTTTGTTGGCCATCTTTCGAATTCAGGTTTCCTCTAGGTAATCCTGTAAATCTTCGAGGGTCCATGTCACCATACATGGGTGAATTAGTCATGTTTCCTTGCCCTTGAACCTGAGCCAAGATCTGTTGTTGTTGTTGCTGCTGCGGCGAGAGCTGAAACTGACTTTGATTTTGAAGGAAAGCTTTCTGAACCTGAGGGCCTAAACCTGGTCGGATTGTATCGATACCCTGTAACATTTGGCAAGAAACTTAGTAAGAAACTGGACTTGGAATGACAAACAGATAATCCTGCAAAAGAATCCCAATGACTTACAGTTAATGGCCATCCCTTTAAAGGAAGACTACCTACTCCAGGGTTTAATCCTTCACAAAAGAAAAGCAAAAAACCATAAGACTTGATCTAAAGAGTTGTACATAACAAATTTCTCGTCAATGCGTAGGGAGGCGCATGCCTTTTTGACAAAGCCTTGCCCCAGCAAGCCTAGGCGCGCTTTTTAAAACACAGTGTAATTCATCATAACTTTTTACAATATAACAGGGAAGAATATGTTTTGGAGTCCGACGTCTATTAATTGCCATGGAAGGCATGCTATCAGTATTTATCACCATATTCTTTTAGGTAAGTGTACACCCCGGTATGCATTACATTGGATTAATTTACCTGCATTACCCATCCCAGGCTTCGATTGCAGAATTCCCTGGCCATAAACTGTAGAAGGATCCACTGGCAGTTGTCTTGGAGATGTACCCAGATTAACTTCACTTTTGATTTCCTGCACGTTCAAGAGATTCAGATGCACACCAAAATATTTGATTGGAGACTTTGGGTAAGAAGATTTGAACAGTCATAAAGTAAGGGGCCCAAGTAGTAGTTACAGGGGTCTGCTGAGTTCGTGATTGAAGTTGCTGCAGTGCTGACGAAACACCACCTTGATGATTTCCTTGGACCATCTGACTGTTTTAGGACAGAAAAGAGAAGACGAGAAGGGGTCAACGGCGTGAGGATAGGAATTATGCCTGCAAAAATGAAGCTGAGACAATTTACCCGTGATGGTTTGTTCCTGCTTTAAGAAGGGCCATCCTTGCATCCATATGGGGTTGGGATGTCTCGGTGTTCATTGGATTTGGTTGCTTCATACGTTCCTCGTACATTTTTGCAGCCAAAGCACTGGCATTTGACTGCCCAATGATCCCTTCAGAACCAATAGCATTCATTGGACCCCCTAGAGAAGGATGATTAGGGTCCCTACGCTGCATTTGAGCTTGGCGCATCAACTGCATTTGCTGCATTTGAATTTGCTGCTCCTTCGCTTTACCTTGTTGTGCCTAAAACTCAAAAGCCATTGGTCAGTTAAATGAAAACTGAAAAAAAAGGACCATACCTACAAACGATAGGAAGCCACCTCTATATAAGCTGCAGCAGCCTCTGAATGTTTCTCATTTGTCCTTGCAATGAAGATATCCCAGAACACAGACCACCACTCAAAAAGAAACCCTCCAGGAGCATCAATTGCTACATTATTCACATAACACATGAAAAATTCCAACGAGTCAATCACTTAGCTTTAAGCCCAATATACAATGAAACAAAAACGGCTTGAATCGGAAAAACCAAAAGAAAAACTCAAGAGCCAACAGGACAAAATAACTCTGACAAAACATACTACTGAATTACAAAAAGAAGATATTCTTATTCCTAGTGCCAGACTAGACCAGAAGGTTACTTCAGAAATGGTTTAAGAATAAAGTCAAAAAAGCAGATATTTACCAACTGGATCCGGCGAGACTTTCCCTTCAGTCATAAATGATTTCGCAGTGTTATGCAGTTTCTTCTTCACCAAATAATCATATATGTAAACGTCAAGCCTACACCCCAAAAAGATGTAAAAGGAAAGTGAACAACAAAAAAAAAAGTAATATTTCTAAGAAGAAACACAAATCTAGGAAATGAAAAATTGGTCACTAAATACAAATCACTAACATCTTATCAGCTTCCCAATTGCTCTGCGCCATAGCTTCAGCCCGAGATCGAGCTAAATAAGTAGTTGAAGTAAGTCAATCTTTATTCAAAAATGACTCTTTTTGACTCGGAATTTCGATTGACTAAAAAAACTGACCTGAATTAAGCTCAAACAAATCAGAGTGTTTCTTGGTAGATCAGAACCCTAATTCGATCTTCAAAACCCGTGTCTTTAAAGATCAAGCATTTGCAGCTGCACAGACAGAGAAATTGAAAAAGAAATCGGGAAAAAGTTAATTGATTACTTCTATGCGAACACGACTTCAAAGGACTTGTCGGATTGACATAGAAGTGATCGAATTCATAACTGATGGATCACAATTGAATTGAAAGAAAGAAAATGAAAAATCTAGGGTTTGAGAGATTCCAGTGAATTGTTTTTTACCTGGAGCTAAGAGTAAATCGATCATGAAACAGCTGGAAGAGAGAGAGAGAGAGAGAGATCGGATAAAAGGTTTGAACAATTTTGGAGTATATTGGAGATCAGAAAGAAGTTCTTCAGAGGTTTGGTTTGATGCTTTTGGGTAAGCTTAGGATTCGGTATATGTTGATTAATGGGCCTCAGTGTTTGGACTTATGAGCTTCCTTAAATGGGCCTATTATTGGGTCTGTTATTGGCGGGTAAAAATCCCAATGTTCAGGAGTGGGCTGTGGAAATGTGTAGCTCTTACGTTATTTGACAGGAGAAGACGGTGTTGAATTCACTAGACTAGTCAACTTGAACGAAAATGTGTCGAGAAAACCATTGATTCTCTACTTCTTGTGTTGTGGTAATTCCATTTAACCGACGATTAGTAAGAGGTCTTTTTCATCTAGCTAATGAGGATTTCAAATACTAGTTCAATACTTGTGTGTTTGCTTGGGGTTTTAACTTTTAACTATCATGAAATTACAATTAGAATTGACGAATCCAGCATTAAACTTTGTTTTCTAAAAGTTAGTAAACGATGCATGTAGTGAATGATGCATGTAAATGATGAACCTAGTGATCAGCCTAACTGTATTTCTTTCTTTTGTGGTTTGGGAATTGAAAAGTTAATAATATGTGTTTGGTTTGAAACCATTGATGGCACATAAATGAGATCACTTCTTTACCACTAAATGAGATCACATTTAGCGTTTGAATAATGCAAAAAGGGTCCTTAAATTATGAGGTGCTTTATACTAGAGCTTGTCCACCTATAAAAGGAAACTAAAGCAGCCACAATTTATTTTTATGAATACACGGTTTTTCTTTCTCTCTCTTTTTTTATATGTCCATGGGTTTTTCATTTATATATGAGGGATTATATAATATGCTGAACTATAAGTCCAGAGATGACACATCTTTTTTTGGGTTCAAATCCAGAGTGGCACATTTATTCGATATTTCTACCTGAGGATTGCATTTGTCGATCTTTATATCTAGATAACTTAACAAGAACCAATTATTAAACAATGTATATACTTCGTCGATGGCATTCAGGTTTTTTGCCCCCAATAACTTCTAGAGTATTCTATTCAAAATATTAATCTGAAACTTATATATACAATTCACTTTATGTGCATACATTTGTATATAATTCATAGAATTATTGATTCTTTCAAATATAGGAGTAATTTACAGCAATTTCTTGTTATGTTGGATTAGATCAACTGGGCAGTTGGCAGACATGAATAAATTGGACAATGACAGGTGGACCTCATTTAATTTAATTGTACTCAACCAATTACTATTATCTTCGCTTTGTCACAAGTTGGACCCTCCGGTTTATTCAATGCCGGTTTTCCTCTTTTCCTCACGGTTATATACCAGGCATCTCATCTGTGGATGAATTATAATTTTTTTACATTAATCCTGATGCAAAAACATGAATTACAACCTGAAACAATTAGACTAACTAATGCGAAGTTTGTCAACTATAAAAATCAATAGAGAAAATGTGCAGATACTAAACTAAACCGGACTTGATAAGAAATTCAACCCAAAAAAAAAAAGAAGTAGCAAAACCGGTTAATGTATGTACGCAGCGACATGTCTATATAAACAGACCAAAGACTAAGCTTCACTGACACAACTGTCTTCTCTCTTTCATATTCATCATACAAAACCTCGTGGAATTTATTAATCAAACCACTTAATTATGGGTTTAATTGCCCGTAAGGCGTGTGTGTTTATCTTCGTATTCGCGCTTGTCGCCGAGTTTGCATTCGCAAATGTCGAGGTTAAAGACGACAAACACTTCTTTCACAAACCTCGTCCATTCTTCCACAAGCATGGCATTTACAAGAAAGGTTTTAGAAAGGGTTTGGGCGGCGGTGGCGGTCTTGGTGGCGGTGGCGGCCTTGGAGGCGGTGGCGGTCTAGGCGGCGGTGGCGGTTTGGGCAAAGGAGGCGGTCTAGGCCACGGTGGCGGTCTAGGTGTAGGTGGTGGTCTAGGCCACGGTGGCGGTCTAGGGTGGAGGTGGTGGTCTAGGAGGCGGTGGCGGTTTGGGGCGGAGGAGGCGGTCTAGGCCACGGTGGGTGGTTTGGGCGGAGGAGGTGGTCTAGGCCACGGTGGCGGTCTAGGTGGAGGTGGCGGTGGTGGTGGTGGTTTGGGAGGAGGAGCGGTTTGGGTGGTGGAGGAGGATTATGGTGGTGGGAGCCGGAGGAGGATATTGGTGGTGGTGCTGGAGGAGGAGGAGGATTTGGCGGCGGAAGAGGATTCGGCGGGGAAGCTGGTGGTGGAAGAGGGTTTGGAGGCGGTTATGGTGGTGGTATTGGTGGACATCACTGATGAGACTCATGCTCATGCATTCGTACGTTGTTATTATTTAATTAAATGAGATATGATATAATTAATTATTACAATAAAATGATACATTAGCAATTGTGTATGTCGTTTCTATTTATTTTGAGTCATATTGTATGCTGCTGTTTTGGTTGGTTTCAACTTTCAACTGTCAAGTTTGGTTAATAAAAATGGTTGATTTGCTTTTTGTTAATAGTTTATGAGTGGGTGTTTTATGTTTCTATGCATGTTTACGTTAATCTTTACCCAATATGTGATGTTATTTGATCTTATCAGATTTATCTTATAGAACGTCAATGATAATATTTTACAAGACTTTGTTAAAATGAATTTAAATAAAGTTATGAGTATAAATAGTTAATCAACCACTTTTATTAACCAAACTATATAAATCTTTTAACAAAAAAAAAACACACTATATAGATCTATGGTCATCCTTTAAGCAATACCATCCAAGACCATTTTCCTCAGTCATTGGATAATCTTACGGAGCTCGAATCACTAGACATGTCAAGAAACCAACTCTCTGAGACTATTCCTCAAGGACTCACGAGCTTCTCGTTTTTGGAGTACATAAATGTGTCTCACAATGAACTCAAGGGTGAAATGAAATACCACAAGGACCAAAAATTACTGGACAATCCAAATCTTCTTTTAAAGGGAATGCAAAGCTTTGTGGTCCTCCTCTCTAGGTAAGTTACTAAGTTGTTTCGACACTAACGCACTACCGCAGATAAAACACCATAAGCAAGAGGACAAAGAAAGAAGAAAATTAGCAGAGGCAGGGAAGACGTTATGGTTTAATTCACTTATTAGCCATAAAAAAAAATTGGTGGATTGAAGAAAGGAGTCAGAAGCTAAACATTAGATTTAAGATTACAGAAAAAAAAACCATATCATCACCTAATCTATAAATAAGCAAACCCCCAACAGCTTACATCTCTTTCCAAAACATTCATACCCTAAAGGCCCTTTTCAGTGCTAAGTAATAATATTTCTTTCCCCTGACGAAATCAAATGAAAAAAAAAAACATAAAAACAGAGAAAAAAAAAAAAAGATGGGCATATATCGGGAGGAGTTTCCATCAGTTTAGTAGAGCAATTATGGGGCTAATAATCTCTCGACGTATTTTTCTTGTTCTTTTAAGTTTTAGGTACACTTGAAGCCATGACAAACCGAGAGGATGATGATGAGAATCAAGGCAATGATGATACCGAAGACTATGAGCTTAATCTTCATGTTCTCAAACCACATCTTTCTTCTTATTTTCGTTCCTTGCGTTCTGAAATCTTGTGCCTGGAGACATTGGAATTGGAAATATAAGAGCGTAAGAACTGGAAGGTCCTTTTATGCTTATCCATATATGTATCGGGTATGTATACACATAAAGGTAAGTACCAACCTGTGAACGAAGGTTCTCAGTTTTGTCAACTAGAAGCTCAATTTTCTCACCACGGTCAAGGACCTGCAAACAAATAAATTACATAAAGCTCAGTCAGTTTTGCAAAAGCGGGTCACTTTTACCTTGAGGGTCAGAGAAAATTCATACCAGTTATGACAAATATGGTCAAACTAAAGATATATAGACCTGTGAGATTGACATAGATATACTACTATTCTGACCTTCTCAATGTTCTCCATCATAACACCTTTCACCTCAGTCACCTGAGCCTTAACCTTGGCAAGCTTGCTAATCTCTTCAGGATGATCCACACAGTACTGCATGTGTTCCTTCAGTTTAGACCTACGGTACAATCAAAACCAGTATAAATTGTATCCACAGAGACTTAAAAAAGAGAGAGAGTTTTTGTTTTGCATTCTGAATGGTAGAGCTAAAAGTACCCAAACTCTCTGTTCAAACTGTTGGGTTGAGCAGTGGTAGCCTTTCCACCACCATATCTCTTGTTGAAATCCTCTTTAACTCGCTCCAAGAACGCCATTGGAATCTGCCTCCCAACAGATTCAACAGCAACAACACAATAGGCTGCAACAAAAAATGAGAATCCTTTGTCAGGTCCATGGACAAAAGATGAGATATTGGAAGTAGAACAGGACCATATATGGCTTACAAATACGAAACATTAGTGTCAGAAGCAAAGCGAACAAATCCAATCGATCAGACATCAATTCATGCTAAAAGCATATTTTTTCAATCTCGGATTTTGGTTTGGATGTAGCAGATGAACTTCTAACTTCCATGCAATGAAAAGCCTAAATTTCATCATATATGAATCAAAATATTGTACAAGCACAGATAAGCCATACATAGAGATGCTCAACTGATTCAGAACACCCAAAAACAGAGATCCAGATAAATCCAAACCAAGAGATACATTCATTCATCAATACAAAATGAAGAACATCTTCAAGGCATTCAATGGCGAGAAACCTTAATTAATGCCCAAAACGCACAAATGACCAAACCAATATATCCAGTGGAATCGATTACAATACGAATACGAAGATCGAAACTTAAGCCATTCGAAAAGAGCGAAACGGAGAACTTATATTGTAACGCGAATCCAGGCATTCATGAAGAGAATCATATTCCAAAAAAAAAATTGTGTTGGGAGATCGAGAAGAGAAGACTCACTGAAGCCATTTTCGACGAGGTAATTGAAGGTGTGACCGTCGCAATTGTAGGTAAACTTGTTATTCGAAGAAGGAAGCTTCTGGAGGCACTGTGCAGCGACGGAAGTGAAATTCCCCTTAAACTCAGTGTACTCAGCGAGAATAACCGTGCCACGAGCGACGAAGCTGTATATCAGATTTTGTTGTCCCATTGTTCCCGAAGAAGAAGAAGAAGAAGAAGAAGAAGAAGAAGAAGAAAGGACCCTAAAGCAACACAAATCCGAGAATTTGAAATCGATGGAAAGAGAGAGAGAGGAAAGTTTTGGTTTTTTTGGTTTCCTTTGTGTGTACGGAAGGGAGAAAGATCCAAAATAGAAGGGAAAATGAAAGGGAGAGAGAGAGATGGGGACGACGCTGCGATCGTTTTGAAAGAGATAACCAAACAAACACAAACAAAACAAAACAAAAAATTGAAAACGCTGGATTCTCGCGTGAGAGAAGTTTCTTTCCCTTTTAATTTATTTATTTATCACCCGTTTCGTTCAAATTAATTGTCTTATTAATTGCATACATAATCTTTTGTCAGCAATTGCATAACTTTTTTCATTATCTAATGACTAATTTGAATGTAGGTATGTCGATGTGACTCGTCTTTCTCAGTTTAAGTCTATCTATTGTTACGATTCAATGGACTTTGAAAAAGTGTACCAGTTTCGAAATAAATGCATGTTTGAATTGTGTAGACGGTTTTTTTTTTTTTGGGGTTTTTTCAATATGAATTAAAGATGTTTCATTTCCTTTTCTTTTAGTTCCATCAAGATTTAATTTCAAGCTACAAAGGTGTAAACACTAAATTTAATTATTCTTTAAGAAATAGGTTCCTGAATTTTAAAGTAAGGTTATTATTAAACATCAGGAGTATATGGTAATGTTTGAATCCATGACTTTGACTGGGACCAAATTGTTCCTAACAATTTGAACTATATGTTATAGGTAAGGTAGGATACTCTTTTTCTTTATCAAAAAGAAAAAAAAACGTTGTTTGTACCAAATGTGGATAGAGAAGAGCTACAATGAACTTCAGAACATTTTCAAATTCACATCTGAATATTATTCAATCATACTCAAAGTCAAATTTCTTAGAGCTATTATTTTTTAAAGCAACTGTGAAGTAGATAAAGCAGAAACTACACTATCATTTCCGTGACGAATAATTAACAGCAAATCGTCACTAACTCTGTCACTTTGTGAGTGTGACTGTGTGAGGCATCTAACTTATTTAGAACTGTGTATTTGTGAATGTTTGTTTGACTCTCTCAATCTCTCGTAGTTGTTGACTTAAGCTTGAAGATGAACATTCTAGAATGAGTTTGAATATTTCCTATTAGGATTAGAAATATGTTAGGAGTTATCTAATATATGTTAAGAGTTATCTATAAGGAAATTTATAGTTCTAATAGGAAAAGAAAATAGGTCATTATATAAGGAGATGCAAAAGTGTTGCATAACTAATGAGTTAGAGTTTAGAGAGTTTGAGTTTTGAGTTATTTTCTTAAGCTAATAAAGAGAGTTATTCTTTATAAGTTGAGTTCTTAAGCATTCTTAAATTCTATAATTGGTATCAGAGCTTTGAAAGGATCAAAATCGGCGACCACAACAGATCATAATCAACGACCACGAAGATCATTAGCTATCAAACCATGGGAGACCTCGTTCCTGTAACTAAACCTAAAGAACTTAGTGTTTCTTCTATTCAATGTCCCATGCTGAACTCTACAAACTATACAGTATGGGCCATACGAATGAGAACATTACTCAGAGTTCATAAGGGTATGGGAAATTATCGAAACAGAGTCAACGGACATGGAGAAAAACGATGTAGCCACAGCCTAGCTATTTCAATCAATTCCAAAAACCCTAATTCTGCAAGTCGGCGGATTAGAAACAGCGAACAATGCCTGGG